ATTTCAATATTATGGTATTCTAAAATCTACTAATGTGATCCAAACAATGTCCAGAGACTTATTTTTCCGTCAGAGTACGAAAAAGTTTTCATTAAAGAATATTATCGATGTGAATAAATATCTAGTGCTATCTATTTTGGTCACTACATGAAAGGCAAAACCTCATTAATCCTCGTCTCTTGCTAGTTTCAACTTCTAAGGGTTGTCGTTCTTAAGAGGACGACAACTGGTTAATGGAAAAACCCATTTTTGAAGACAAAATTTATACAACAGATGGAATAGACAATAAAAATTATCGAAAAAATATCGTAACATTGTCAGTTCACTTTGTCTTTCCACATTTTTTTATTAGTAAATCTTTCTTTACGATAATGTGTGAGTGTTGCTGATCACATGCCAATAATTTCTGGACCATACAAATGCATGTCTTCAATTGGAGGTCTGTTCGCCGCATCACAAATAAAGTTCAAAATCTTACTTGATGGATATTAGACATGTTGTTGATGGCGCGCGTAACCCAAAAACCACAAAACACTAGAAATATGTGAACAGGTACCGATAGTTCTCGCACCAGGCAAGTACAATAATATCTCATAATTGGTGGATCATATTGTAACGCATTTGAAGCCGGCCCTGACCGATATCTCAGCCAACGCATAAACAATGACTCATCGCGAAAGGAATGCACTCGACAAGCCACCGCGAATAATCTAGGCCAGTGCCGAAACCCCTAGAGAGATCCCGAAGCGTTCGTTGACGATATTAAAAGGCCGCTATCCGTCCCGAGCGGCATTCAGTCAGTCAGTCGGAGTCTGTATCTAGAAAGTGAATCGAGCGGTTAACAAACAGTGAAGATAAATTAAGCGTTAGTTGCTAAGTGATGTATATAAAAATTAGTTGTGATAGTGAAGTATTGTTAAAAATAAATTTGTTTGGGACAGGTAATTCTTCAATTCCTTACAATTGGTGATCAGAAGTGGATTTTTAAAATAAATTTGTGAACGCTTGGTGGACACTCTTTGTATTACGGTGAAATTGACTATAAGACTTATTTGTTCGCGTAGAGACTGGTGATTCATTGTGTTTCGCGAAGTGGACAGAACCGGACTACGGAAACATAAACTGATAGACCTTTCTAACGAAAAATAGACTTGTGAACATAAATAAGTGTTTCAGACTCGATTGAAATAAGTGGACGTATTCAGTTTTGTGGAAAATAGACAGTAAGAGGCAAAATGTGTTCAAGGAAAGTGCGCCTAGTGGACTTGAAAGTTGCCGAATTGAAGCAAGAATTGGAGGAGAGGGAGCTAGACTGTTCTGGAAAGAAATCAGTACTCCAGAAGAGAGT